GCTTGGGTATGCACTGGAGGATTTAAAACATGTTTAGAATAACAATAGGAATGACTGAAAAAGGAAAACATTAAACTGTTCTTTCTCATCATGATGTGACCTTTATGCATTTTCCTATGCCCTAAGAAGCTTTCTTTATAGCTTCTAACTAGTGTCTGACTGCTCTTGTGATACATTTTGGAAGAAGCTTTGCTGACCAAGCCCTGTCCTGTGATATAAAAATTGCCACCTGTACTGCTTTTAAGAAGCTTACAATTCTGAAAATGTTGGCCAGTATAAGTTAATGTTGCCAGTCTGCAATGTCTGCAAGAGTTTTAGTTAAAGCGTGCTCCGAGATTCTCAGTTCTCATACATACACACATACACACACATTACATTGGCCAGACCCTACCTGTAAAACAAATTCACCATGTTCTGAGGACTTTTCAGTAATGAAATGCTGATGCTTTGGTGTAGCGTTTAATTACATAAGATTTCTGTGTCTTATCAGCTAGCTACTAATTGTTTGAGGATTACTTAACCTCCCCAGTTTGAAGAGTGGCCAGTGTAATTTCTGTTTGGCATTACTCCCTTCTAAGCGGATTCTCCTTAGCCCACTCTGACCAGGACAATGAACTTGCATGGTTGGAGGTGACGGTCAGATTCTCTCTTCAGATGTGACGACTATTGGAAAAATACCCACTGATGTGGTCATTGGGTCAGAGAAACTGCAAGACATTCAGAGTTCTGGCAAAGCCATAGCTTGAGCAAGGTCATCAAGTTATGTAATGCACTTCAAACTATAAAAACTTTGTTTGCTTCTGTCTATGTAAATTACTTGCACAGAGATGCAAGTAAAGGGAGTATTTAAAGTTAAGGCAGGGGGTTGGGGGGTGCCTGCTGAAGTCTGGTCCAGTAAAGGACAGCAGCAACATAATTGGTTTTGTGTTTACTTGTTGTGCGATAATTTCCTGCAGGCTTGTTAGAGCTGAGCTAATTTTTTTCTATGAGAAATTTTTATGAGAATGTTTGTCATCTTTGTATTGGCAGCCAAGAAAACTGAGTGTGGTTTAGAAAAATAAATGCTTTTAAAACAGAACCGTTTCTGTTTTATGAAAAATTGTGTTAATATAATATATATTTGTATATGTTATTGAATTTAAAGTTTTTGTACCCCATTTTTGAGCTCCATTTTTCTTAAAAACATCACTGGCAATGAAATGTAGAGAACTATTTAAGTTATTATTTATTTAGTATTATTAAGTAAATGTTAAGTTATTATCTTCGAATGCTTTAGAAGTTTAGGTTACTCAGAATTTTTTTTTTTTTTTCAGGTTGTCAAGTTAATATTTATAACTGGGTTTAGTAGTTGTTCTTATATAATTCATGTTCTTCATATATGAAAGCTTTTCTGTTTTATATCCTTATGATGTTCAGACTTATTTGGTGAAAGAGTTCTTTGTCTGCCCACATACGCCTGTGCTGTGAGTGGCTTTCCACAGCCTCGAGAACACTGGAACGATGTGTTCCTGGCTGGCGGTATTACAGTATGACGTTATGATTTGTGATTCATGCAAATTATTTTTCCAAAAGAAAACTTTACTTTATCTAATGAAATTTACACTTTGCTCATCTCACCGGTTTTTAATGAAGCACAACAGAACTGTGAAATAGGCAAATCAACATTTGAAAAAATATCTGTTTACATTAGTGATGCACAGTGATATTGGAGTCATATTATTATTATTATTATTATTATTATTATTGGTTATATAAAATATTTATGTGGTGTTTATTAATACTCCAGAAGAGCAGAATGTTTAGGTGTGTTAATATGCTAAAATGTCAGCATTTTATTCATTTTACTTCATTTTTAACCCTATAGAAATAAATGTTGTTCCTCTATAATGTGAATCCAGGTGGAGCTGCTTCTGATTTCTTAATTTTTTGAATGAGAGTGCAGATATGTCAGCAGATATGTACATGGAATATATCGGCAATGGCCCACATTATCAGTTTAAATTTCATGAAAGGAGTAGATGCTCTTATTTGTGAAGCGGACAAAACTGTATTCAAATCAAGCTTTTTCTTCACACATTTAGCAAATGCTTTTGTCTAAGGTAGTTTACAGTGGCAGTACAGTGCAAGTCTTGCTGCTAGATTATAGTTATTCTGGTTGCTGAATGGTGGGATCAAACCCCTTTGTCCGGGCTCAGGGCGAATGTACAGTCCAATGTGTTATTTGCTGTTAATGACTACTAAGACCAAGATAGAAACCTTAAACCTTAATAAATAATGACATGTAGTTGGCCCTCTGTGTGTTGATATTATTTTTAAACCCCAATATTGCAGTATTATACTGCATTGAATTTCCAACCCTTTTGTTTATTGCCAAAGGCTGAAAAATGTACATTTTAAGCATATCATAGCTCTACTCTGTGAAACTTTATGTGGATTCCAGTGAGGGCTTGGAAAGACAGTGTCTATTGAGTTGAGGGGCTGTGTTCAAAAAAACGATGTGGTAATATGTGGTGGAAAAGCTCAGTGGTGGCTGATTTGGCTAATTTATTTTTTTTTTATTTTCGTGAGCACGTTTGCTTGAGTTAAACATACTACGTGCAGCTCTAAGAGAGGGACATTTATAACATTCAACAAGATGCAAATGTGCTCTAATAGGTAAAGTCTTTATTTATTTATTTATTTATTTATTTATTTGTTTAAAAGGCTGCATTGAAGAAAAAAGTGACTTCGAAGTGTCATGCTTTCAGGACAAGCGGTTCGCAGAGTCAAGTTTAATCATTAGTTTATCGTGTGCTGTTGAGTGGATTAATGAAGTGAGTATCTTTTGCTAACTGTTGTTAAGATGTGTACTTCAGTAAGTTTCTCCTTCATAGATGTGATTGTGGTGGCTTATTAGTTTGTAGCTAGCTATGATTTACTATTTCGCCATTTTGTTCACTTGTTTGAGCTGTTATGTTTTATAGACGTGTTAAATGTTAATGCATCTGCTTTGTTTTGTAGCAGTGTTAAATACTCAAAGGATGACCCTACTGTGGCGTATGTGATCTGTGGCACATATTTGTGAAAATTTTCTTGTTCACTGATAGTTTTACAGCCAAAGACTCTCTCACATATGCAAATTTGCCCAAATACTGACTGCTGTTGTGGTGTCACCTCTTTGATTGAAAATACTTCACTTCTTTGATTGGAAATAGTTCACTCATCTGCTTCCCTGTGCTTCGACCAGCACCTTATTATTGTTACATTTTTTATTTTTGTTTGGAGGTTTTTATAAAAAAAATGTTATCAGTACCTCCACTACTCATCAGTACTGTAGTTTTAAAGGTATTATTTATTTATTCTTGCCAAGATCTGAATCATTTGATATTGGCCGATGCTGCATTCTGCATTTGTCCAATATTTGTATAATACAGCCATGCAGCCCATTCATTAATTTTCAAATCAGTCATTAGGTTGCATTCTAAAGGCTAGGCATGTTGGAGCCTTACCACTATGGGCAAATATTTTCCACAAGTTGTAATTGATGTTTTTCTTTTTCTGAGAGGAGTGAGCGAATGTTTGGCCAAGATCTGGTCTGGCAAATCTATAGCAATTAGTTTGAATTATTTTTGTTGTTTGCAGTGCATCATTGTCATTGCAATTCTCTGCCATGCCTGTGTCTTGTATTTGTGTTTGAATGTGGTAGCCTAATTCTACCCCAGTGTTTTGGTGCATTGCAAATGCAGAAAATTTGGGAATGACAAGTATTTGTTCATTCCTTGTGTTTTTACAAAGCATAACAGTCCTTTTATGGAACTCCCTGGGCTCCATTTGTCTCAAGCTGTGTACTGACAGCCTACTCACTACCTCAAGAGTGTGTGTGTCTGTGTCTGCATTTTCGTCTGCGTGTGCTCTGGGAATAGATGGCATCTTTGTCATTACCTAACTCAGACAAGTGAAATAACACAGGTCAGAGCTGGCTTCGTTGATGCACATAGCCTGGTGCCTCACTATCATCAGTAGTAGGGGACTCATTTGCTCCTATCTAGACCTTCGGGCCACAGTGAGTTTGATAAGTGGAGGTTAGAAGCTTCCCCAGCTCTTCTCCTCCTGCGCTGCAGCCTATCCGTCTCCTCTCTTTCATTCTTACCCCTGGAACTTCACTAACCATGTGTCACTCAATCTGACACACTTTGGCTACCTCTTCTCCTCAATCAGAATGTCTTATGACCTGGAATAGACTTGACGTCTTCCCTGGAGGTACTATATCTTTCAGCAGTGAAACAGTGCCCATGAGTAATATGCAGCAAAGCTCAGATGCTGCCAGGACTTTGTTGCTAGGAACATCTGCAGGGCTGAGCCTACAGCTGCTGCCGGTCTAAATGTGTTATTGCTGTAATGCTTCCAAAAGAAAGGACATGGGTGAGTGTGGGGAGTTTCAGTAGTAGACTTCTATCTCTTTGTCTGGTAATTGGGAATTTAGCAGAAATTGTGTTGAATTGTCTTACACTTTTCTTGCCCCCTAGTGGTTCTATAATTAGAATGACCTGGATTGTGAAGCAGGTCCTGGTTTTCTCTGATACAGGGGATGGCTCTCTTAGATATGTTTTTAGTCCTGACCAAGGTTAAACCAGGGATGTACATTGATATAGGAATTATGTTGATATCAGCAGATATTTGCTTAAAAAGTTACTCTCAACATTGAATATTTGTTCATGTTTATTACACTGCAGAAGTGCAAAATGTTTAGGACCAACCAAGTTGTTGAAAATAGTACATTCTCAACCTATTTCCTCATGACTGACTGTGTAGGCAGGTGTGCTCAAGTCTGGACCTGGTGATTTACAGCCCTGGAGAGTTTATTTCCAAATCTAATTTAACACACTTGATCTAATTAATCAGTGTTTAGGCACTTCTCTACATTAGAGCTATGAGAGGTGTGTAGGAACTAAATTTCTGGGCACGCTTAACATAAAATAACTCTTGTATTAATGTGATTTTCCTCCCTCTCTCATTCTCAGATGATTCTGACGGTGTATCTAAGTGATGGTGAGCAGGCTCTGACGGAGGTGCCCATCACTCCAGAGACAACTTGTCGTGATGTGGTGGAGTTCTGCAAGGAGCCAGGGGAGAGCGGCTGCCATCTGGCTGAAGTGTGGCGCGGCAATGGTATGACATTGTTCTTTTCTAGGTTGGGGGGTTGCTATGAACAGCACACCTCGTTAGTCTTATTGCGAGCTGTCGTTGGCTGTCCTTTACTCAATCCCCTGATAGGGATTTGGGTCTTTTGTGAAGTTTTTTATGTTCCACAGTAGAACGTGTTTTGAAAGCTAGACTAATTTTCTCGTTGGTGCCATGGTTTCTTTTGGAAAATTAGTGAACAATGTGTACAGTCAGAGACCGTCATTCATTTATTTCATTTCTCTCTCTCTCTCTCTCTCTCTCTCTCTCTCTCTCTCTCTCTCTGTTACTCTTTTTTGGCATCAGATGAAAAAGCAGAAAACAAATTTAGCATAAAATTATACAGAAGTATCAATAACCAGATATAATATACATTTTTTTTCACTATTTAGAGCGTCCACCTTTTACATTTCTTATTGTTCCTTCTTTTTGGGAGACTTGTTCTCAGTTTTCCAAAGCAATATGCAAGAATAATTTTCTATCCTTCTTGTAAACACCTCTAAAGTTCAAGAAATTGGTTGTATTTTCTGCTTCTCACAGTTCAAATAATCTCAAACACATGCAGTGATGCTGAACTCTATATTCTGGGGTTGTCAGTCCATTGTTCTGACAACTTCAGCATCTTCTTTGTTTGATTAGCATATGTTTAATTGTTGTTTTTCTGTTTCCTTTGCTCAGTAATGGATTCTTGACAGCTACACGCCCTTTCAAACCCATAGTATTGAATTGTCTTCTTGCAGAGGATGGATCGATAGAAACACTTTTTCAAATCTAAAACAACAGAAGCTTGATTTTCTTTTCTCTCTCAAAGATGAGCTCTTTAAGTATTGTTTATCTGGTGGTGACTGTGTTGGTGGTCTACCAGGTCTTTTTCAGGACAGTTGTCAGGACTCTGCATCTTTTAATGATTATTTTTTTAAGCTCCTGTTTTTTTCTTCGTTCAGTTGACTTTTCCCTACCTTATGCCTCTCTCCTTAAAAAAAAACAAAAAACAAAAAAAAAACAAAAGAACAATTTGTAATTAGTGGCTGTTTAGATTGAAAATGAAGTATATAAAGGGTGGTACATCATACTGTCTTTTAAAAGCACTGAGATTAACTGCAAGCTTAAAGTCTGCATATATATATATATATATATATATATATATATATATATATATATATATATATGTATATATATATATATATATAACTAATACTTAGTAACACCTGTATGCCGAGCGTTTATTCCAAAATCAAATGTGTTAATAGAGAGTAACTAATTAGAACAGGTTTCTGGATACTTTGGAACATATGGTATATGCAGATTATTTGAGAAAACAGAATCTGTGTGTCTTCTGTTCAGTCCATATCTGTTTGGAAATCAGAGATGTTTCTTTGGCCATGTTATGCTGTTGTATTTTTTTTGATTAAAAGAGCAGAAATATTGAATAATAAGGGGACTGAAAGTGAAAGACTTTTTGATGAGTTTGACTTATTTCACTTCTTAAAACATTTGGCTGGTCTTCGGACAAACACTACCTCTACATGTGGTCCTTGCATTGTTGTCGTCGTTGTTGTCGTCGTTGTTGTCGTTGTTATTATCATTATTATTATTATTATTATTATTATTATATGAAAGTTATCATTATATGAAAGTTGTCATTATATGCAAGTTATCATTATATTAAAAGCGTTATTATGGGGATTTGTGGATTTAGCCATCTCTTTCATCAATACCAGTGTCCTTTTTGCGTTGTTTTTCCCGCATCTTTCCCCCGTTCCACACCTCATATTTCCCGCAGTGTTGACTTCTATATGTGTTGATGAATCAAATTTAAAAAGGTTAATCTTCAGATATTTGTGGCTTGTATTTCCAATTTTAGTGTTAAGAATTGAAAATGGGAAATGAAATAATGAGAAAAGGCTAAGAATGCATGTTTTACATGAAACAGTATGTGTTTGTTTGTTTTGAGTTTGTTTTGAGAGGCAAAATGAAATTCAATATTTAATTGCAAACAAATGAAATGAATGGAAGATGCACGGATTGATTAGGTTCATGTCCAAACAAGTGTTACCAACGTCAACTAAGACTTCTGTAACTTCAGATTTACTTGTGTAAATCTGGGGGAGGTGGGTTTGAATGAATGGGATACCTTTGAAGCTCACAGAAGCTGTGTGTGATGGGAGCCTTTTATCTACTTCACTGTTGTCCAGGTCTGACAGACAATGAATATATAAAGTGAACTGATATTCCCATGTTTTCTGCCAGAAACACGTTTTTCCTGTCTCATTCATTCTACTTTTTTTTTTTGTTGTTGTTGTTGTTGTTTTTTTGTTTTTTTTTTCTTTCTCATTTCTTTTTTCTTTTGTTCGTTTTTTTTTTTTTGCTCCCCTCTGCCATCTTTTCACAACGCCATGGGCCATAACCGTACCTCACAGAGAGTTCTTCTTTTGGTGTGCTCATCACCATGTTCAACAAAATGTCATTTCTTGTCTAACAAAATGTCCATCACAGAGGCCTACTGCCCCTAACTCCATTAGTGGAGAGTAAGTGATGGTGATTGCTTGCGGCACACCATTGGTCTCCATTTTACTGTCACAATATACGGCCACATTCAGAATTATGTGAAAGTATGGCTCACCTCACCATGCCTTTTACAGGTTTGTTAGTAGTTATTTTTAAAGTGTTTTTTCCCCCAAATGACTCATTTGTTCCACTACCTGTGGTACTGATAGTGGAATGTTACAGATTACCGCTTCAGATGAATGACCACCAACAGCAGTCTGCTGTTCGGATGCGTCTGATTTCTGAAGGCTCTATTATGCATTTCCTTTCTGTGTAAGTCTGTCAGCCATCCATTACTTCCATCTGGTCTCGATCACTCTTCTTCTAGTTTCTTTCTTTTTAGTCCTGTCAGTTTTCTGCTCTATTAGTGCAGTCCATCTGTGCTCAGTCCGTCACTTCTTTACTGTGTGTTTGTACTGATCTCCTTGTGTAGATGAGCGCATGTCTTTTCGTGCATCCGGTCATTCCATCTGTCCCACTGTCGTTGGTCTCTAATCATCAAATGGTGATATGTAGCCTCTTTTTGTGTTGATCTGTGGCCCCTTCCCCTGACTCCTCTCTGAAGAGCAGAGTGGAGTTCAGAAGAAGCTGATAGCAGGCAGGTGTGAGATCAAAAACACAGGACACAGTCCAAGTCTTTGTGATCATGGCTTGCATAAGCCAGTCTAACCTAGGCAGCAACCGCACGCTGACAGCACATCACTATCATAAATAAAAATCTCTCCAGGTGTGCGCTAAGCCTTGATACACCCATATGAGCTGAAGGAGTCACCACAACTCCAGCTACAGTGTGTTGAATTCTTGTTCTTATGGCTAAAGAAGAACCGCAGGTAGTTTTTGAGTTACTTATGCATCGTCAGGGGCGATTTAATGCACAGGCTTACCTGAGCTGAAGCCCAAGGGCCCCGGAAAATTCAGATTGGCCCTATTCATTCATTCATTCTTTCATTTATTCTTTCATTCATTCTTTCATTCATTCTTTCATTCATTCTTTTTCTTTTTTATACATGCCTACTTAATCATATGTGGACAGAATATTTATTAAGTTAACTTTTTAAGGTAATGAAATTTGATCTGTTTTCTTTGAGTGCTGTCACTTTTTTATAGTCAATTAAATTATTACCTCCAGTCACTGCGCAGCAACTAGGGACACATCAGTACCGATACTGTTATTGGGTATCGGCCCAATACCGTGATCATTCACTCTTATTCATACTCAGTGGCAGTGAGACTCAAAGTTACTCATTACTTTAAACGTTCTACCTTGGCAGATTCCCACCAGACATACCCTGTGATTTTAGCCCATTTTTAAACCGACACAATCACAACCGCTTCCCCAGTACAGGTGGAGACGTGTAGGCAGATAAGACGCTAACTTTAGCGTCATTTAAGTTCGTGCAGTAATGGAAAGATGTTTAAAGCAGTGCTGGAAGTCAGTGGCAGTTTGAGTTTTTAAACTCTGTGTAACTACACCCATAGGGCCTAGGACCACCTGTAGTCCCAGGGCCCACATGCAAGTTAAAGTGCCCCGTACGTCCTCATTCCCCTTCGTTCATCGTCATTCCAGCTGCAGAGGGGAGGAGGCAGGAAAAAGAATTGATTCTTAGATGCATTGCCACATTCTCTTTATAAATTTTGAATCAATTCACAAAACATCATAATCTGATTTTTGTATAAGCTCTGTGTTCTCTACTGTTTTCTCTAACTTAAGCATATAGCCAGAGACATTATACAGAGGTGTTGTACGCTGGTGTAGCCCAGCAGTTTAGTAGCAAGTGCTTTCTGAGTTGATGTGCGTGTTTTTAAAGTAGGAAGGCACAAAATTATGCAGGGCAGGGGCTGCTCCAGGATCAAGGTACACAAGTGCACACGGTATTGATAGAATCCAAACCCGGGAGACTCGATCTGTTGTCTGGACAGGTGACGTTTATTTGTTGCGCGCGCAGGTTCCAGACACCCAGCCAGCCCCCCTATACAATGGACTGTCACACTTTTATAGCTGGACTGTTGCCAAGTTTAGACCCAGCGTATACAGGACAAGTAACAGGTGTGACAACATGACCATATAAGGAGAAAGACAACAATAGGCAACCTAAAATACAACTTCAAAACACACACACACAACACAGCACATTAACTTCCTTCAGTATAGACCAGGTGGGGACACGCTGCTCCAGAGTGTTCACAGCAGGAGATACTGTGCTATACACTCCAGTGAATACTGAGGGTGTGAATCTCTCCCCCCTCAACAATTTCAGTATAGTTCATCATAGTCCACCATAGTTACAGATTTCACCACAGTTTGATAAAGTTATGTCTGTACAATTTAGAATTATTAAAACTGAATCTGAAAATGTGTCTAGAATTACTGTTTACACAGTATTGATATATAGATGGTAAAACGATACAGCAAGTTTATTGAGTTTTACTTTAAAATGGCCCTGTAACTGTATTTTGTTTAGAGTGAGCTCTTGCTAAACCAAAGATTAGTAGATAGTAATCGGTTGTTGGTGCTGTTGAATGGCCACCTGCAGATCAATACATCACAATGCATAGATGCCTTTTTACACCCCTATCAAATACTGCAGTGCTGTGCTTCTCTTACTCTGGTGCTCTAGGTCTCTCAGTTTTCATTTGGAGCATGCAGTCTAACGTGACAAATGCATGTGCATAATATAGCTGGCTTTGTCTCAATTATGTGTTATTTGATTGTCCTCTCTCTCTCTTCATTTCTACTCATGTTTTTTTGCTCAGTCTGGCCTTCCTCTGTGTCTTTGGGTTGCCACTTTAACTCCAGATGTCTCCCCACCTGCTTGCAGAGACTGGAATACGTCTTAACTGTCCTTTCCCCTCCCTTAATCTCCCTCCCCTCTGAGCCCCTCTGCATTCCTCTGGCAGAAAGCCACATTTGGGTCGGTCTTTACATCTTTGTTCAGTGTGTGCTTGTGTTCCCCTCTTGGGTGTGGCTCTATTGACTTCTTTATTCCTTTCAGGATCTTTCAGTGTAGAAGGTAAAAGAGAAGGATGCCTGTCTTTTGGTTACGAAGATCTCTGTCCTGTCTTTTGGCCCTTGCATTTTTTTGCTAGTGATTCCCTGATAATATGAGCGCTTTCTAACAGTGTAATCTTTCTTTCTTGCAGAAAGAGCAATCCCTTTTGACCACATGATGTACGAACACCTGCAGAAGTGGGGTCCCAGGAAGCAGGAAGTAAAGTTCTTCTTGCGCCATGAGGACTCGCCCACAGAGAGCAGTGACCAAGGTGGGTCCTCTTTTTTTCCTCCAACCCCTGACACTAAAGATGCATCGATGCTGGATTGGTATGTGCATTGCTGTCATTAAACGGTTCTGACATTGGTTAGATGTAGCTGTCCCACAATCAATACTGTTTCTTAGTCATGGTCGTTAGGAATTTCAATTGGTATAATGTAATGCTGAAAACTTCTAGAGCAATATAACTTGAATTTCACAATGCTACAAAGAATATCGATATGTGACTGTTTCCATTATGGTATATTAGCCTCTGCTGCAGTGGTTTTCAAACTGTGGGTCATGAGCCACTGGTGGAGTACCGGCAGTGTTTGCACGAGTGGTTTGAGAAGAAGCTGCATAAATGCAGATGGTTTTTGTTTCTCCCATGAGAGCTGAAGTAAATGAAGCACATTTAGAACTGAAGTAGTAACCACTCCATTTCTGCACTCCCCACTGCAAAATGCTCCCAGGTTAGTGTAGCTTTAAATATGTGCAATAAGCATGGTCAAGTGATTTTAAAGTGCAGTTATTGGACCTTCGAGTGTGTTTTCTGCTGCCTGCTATGATCTACCTGCCTCTAGAAATATGTAAAAATTCAAAATACAATCTTTTTTTGATGCTGTGTCGTGTTTTCATTTAAACTGTTTGATCACAGTATTTAGAGTTCAGAGCTGGTTATTCTGCTAAGCTATCTGACAACATGGATCGCAACAAATAACAGTGATTGTAACGTCCAAAAAAATATTAGTGAAATGTATTAATGTCTTTACAGTAAAGGTAAGAGCTGAATGTATTACATCAAAATACAGAGCAAATAGGTGTTGTCATTATTAATTTTAATTGTCATTATTTTTTCATTCCAAAATCTCGCAAGTATGTAATGGTGTATGCCTAAGCATGTTATATGCTTTTGTCATGGCTTGTCGATGGAAAAAAACAGTATGTTGAGCAAAACTGACTATATATTGGTACTCAGTGTTGAATCTAAGTTTATGCATCCCTGCCTGACACCCACTGTTCCCTAAGGGCTGTTTCACACACGACGATAGTGTGACTGCTACAGCTTGCACGCATTGGCTATTCATACCTATAGTGTTTGCATCTGCAGTGTTGTACAGCATGCAAGTTCTTCCAACATCTATTTTGCAATTTAATAAATAGTAATATCAGTTACTGTACTTTGTTCTTAGCTTGAGCGATATGACTTTAATACAGAATACTGTGATATGTAAACATGATGACGATACTTATGCTATCAGATTTCTATTTCACGTCTGAACAGATAAACACATTCCACTCAGTTATATTTTGGAGGGCTCACTGATTGGTGGTGTGGGTGTTCACAGATTGGGGGCGCTAACAGAAAGAGCAGGAAAATCATATACAGGACAAACTTTAGAAAAACTAAGCATGATAGCTCAGACACGACAAAGAGCCACCCATATCCTAACCACACAATCTTTCACTCCAACATCAGTCTGTCGACTTTGCACTTTCATCTAAACAGGTGTTGTTTTAGCATCAGTTAGCTATAACCATGCTCATAGCATGTTTGGCCTGCTAACTAAGCTCTCTCCCACACACCACAGAACAGGTTCCATATTGGCTTACTGTGACTTTAATTTTGCGCTCTCAGACATTTTTATCGTCTAAATTTGTGTCAACAGAGCACCAATTTTCAGAATCAAGCCTGTACTATGAGTCTGTAGTCTGCTTGGTAAAGTAATATTAAGATGGCCTATCAGGCTGCAGATCCAAACAACTCAGAAAAAGGTATAATTTCGCCCTCTAAGCGGTTGCTTGAGTTTACTTTCACTGATTTCAGTCATTAATTTTAATCATCTAAGCTTGTCGGTGCTTTATAATTTAACATGTTCTGTGGTGGCAGAGCTGTTAGCATGCTAGCAAATCTAATGCTAACCAGCTCCTCTCTCCTAATTAGCAGCACTGTTTAACATTATCAAATGTTCAGTAGATACTTTGACATTTCATAAATGATACCTTGAAAATCATGCACGGTGCTCACTTATTTGATGACTATGTAAAGCGAACTACTTTTTCGCTGGACGAGACAGCAGGAAGCATTATAATTGACTTCAGTCTTCTCAGATTTTACAAATACCCTGGTGAAATGTCAGAAAGGTGTGAAGGTTTGAAAAAATAGGTCCTGCACAAGCCTACTTTGTTCAATAAAAATAATTAGTTAAAGATTTGTTTACCCTCTTTTCTTTTCATCTTTCTTGGGAAATCGTCTCAAGCCTATAGACTTATCAGATAATGTTTATGCAGCACAAAATGTTTTTTCATTTGATAACTGCCATTAATTATAGACTTGTAGCCTCACCACAAGAGGCAGTATGTGTGAAACACCTAATCTCTAATGCACTAGTAGGAGTGCCTTCCATTCATAATACAATAGTGGACTTTTCAATGCTCAATTGGTGTCACCCTAACTGATAAGGGCAAAATACATATTGTGTCAGCTAACTAGAGTAGTCTTCTATCAGGTTATGCAGGGTTATGCTGGCTTTAAGCGCAGCTGTTATGTTATAACATGAAGCAAAGCTTTACCCAGGTTCAGGGTGTTCAGGCTGATGCCATATAATACGGGTCTCTGGCAGCCCTGCTGCTGCTGCAGGGAGCAGAAAAGCGGTTAAGTGATGGTTACATAACTAAGCAGCTTGTTGTGTAATTGGACTGGGTGTCTGTAACCCCCCCAGTGTCCTTTCTACACAGGTTCACCTACACTAGCTCATACACACTTGAACATTTCAGACACGTGCAAAGTTAGCTATGTATTCTGTGTACTGTTATGTGCTGTTCTGTTAACTTTATAGAAAGCATTTATATTGGTTTTGTTTGAATTCAAGCTACAGTGCAGTAGCAGACTACTCATTGAACTAATGCTGGTTTTAAATTAATTATCGAATGCTTAAAACCTTGTATAGCATCTCTTCCCACGTGCCTGCATCTCTAGCTGCCCTGTGCATGTGTTTGGCTTTCACTCTTTTAAAAGAGTGAAATTTTCAAATTGCAAGAGCTGCACTTATAATTATAGCTTGTGAACCACCTGTAGATGAGTTGCACCAGTCAGAGGTAACCAAACACTCAATTAACTGGCAGTTTGGCACACACTGTCCAGTGTTCAAGGCTTAATCTAGAAAAGTGAGTATTCTGCTGTCCTTGGTTAAAACAAAACACAGGCATGAACCTTAATTTGTTGAAAATAATCTATAATAATATAGATTTTAATAATAATTTCAATGGCAGTCGCAGTATTGCTTAGAAAAATTTTCTCCCAAGTCATTCAGCCCTAGTGTGGCTGTGCAGAGCACTCTGGAGCAAAGTTTTGGAGTTTGGGTCCATTGAGCTGGAAGGCATTGTCTCCAGTGGAGGGTGTAAAACAGGCATCACCCTCCACTGCTTGGCCGGCTGTCACACTCCCTTAGAAGGCCTAAGTACTGTCTGCCTGATCACAACCAAAGCCAAGCTCCAATTCTGTCTCTCACTCTGCTTCTCCACTAAGCCAGCGCACTACACGCTCTCTCTCTCTCTTCCCTCTACTCTTTGCCCCTACATTTGGGTCCACATATTAGATCTCTTTGTTGTTTAGTGTTATGGACAGCTTTTACCCAGATGCACTTTATTTGTGTACTGATATATTTGTACTGGGTGTATGTGTAGATATCCTTGCTTTTAAGTCATGTGAATTTTCTGGCATCACTGCACAATGCAAGCTTAACAAGATGTGAAAGATGACTATCTGCCTTACTTTGAAAGAGGGAAAAAAAGGCACCTTGATAAAGCTGATAAAATAAGCTGTGATTCTTCCCTGGGGTGGATGTAACAGCATTCTGTGGACCAGTGTATTTTGTTTTTCTGCCACTGGCATATGCGTGTCGCCAGTGAAACGTGCCAGTAATGAGTACAACACGTCAATCAGCGAGTGAAACCTGTCCGTGTTTTCCCCGTATCTCATTTGAAATGCTAATGTAATGATTAACGTTTGTCATTATTAATGCATTTAAAGAAATCATTTATTTGCCGCTGACTCTTGCTTACCCTGACAAATACTATGTACCAACACATTTTGTTTAGCGCTTATGAGCTCCCAGTAAAGGTTTAACTACAGGCTAGAAGTGTAAATGTCCGCTTAAATATGTAGGCTTTCAGTGTTATTTGAAGAAAACTAACTTGTGGCAGGAGCATTATTTGGAATAGCATGTTGTACATGCGACGGGCCTGGAAGAAACAGACATTTAATATGCTACTTGAATATGCCTGTTATATATCAGTTTGAGTGGCACATGCCAGCGAAGAGTTGAACCTGCCACTGATTCCTGTAACCTACTACGATACAATACACTTTTATTGTCAGAGTTCTCTAAAATTTTTCTTGCTTCATAGTGGCTCCATGGGAGAATAAGGGGTAGGGGGAGGGAAAGATGACAAACTGTCAGACAAACACAAACATTACATGAAACCACAACAGTACACTTTACAGAATTACCCGATTCCACTGTACACCCTGCTACCCAATGTCTGTGAGTTACTACCTGTGCACTTATCAACCACTTATCAGTGTACTAGTGAGTCACTGTCCTGAGATGTTTGTGTTTTTTGTTGTTTGTTTGGCTGGTTATAGGCAAACATCAACAAACAATGACTGATCTTGGAATTAGCTGAGGTTTATTCTGAAAATAATTTCTAGTTGAATACTTGAGAGAGAGAAACAGGATCATGGAAAGTTATAATCCCTCACTTACTTACTTTACGGTTATTGCAACCAACCGCAGTGTAAATAGAAAGGCATTTTGTTAACCTATTCAGTCTTTTCGGACCTCAAAATGCCAGCAGTTATAAAGTGTAATGTCATGGGAAACACAAGGCTATGTGGCATGTGTAATTTTGTATTTATAATGTGTTGTAAATCTTGCAGTGAACCTGGACATAGGGCTTGACAATATGGCAAAAATACAGTATATCTATGCTTGAAAATGTTTTCACAATATACAATACATATCACAGTGTTTTTGTTGTTTTTTTTAAAGTGGCACAGTTAAGTTAGAAAAGACAAAAAAATTACATACTGTGCTGCTCTAACACCAGTTAAACAGGACTAATTATGCTCTCTTAGTAATGAAATGGGCAGTTGTTTAGTGTTTTGTAAGTACTGGCATTATCCACGATATGCTAAGAAAAACAGATTGTGACGAACTTTATCATGATAACGATGAAATATCATATTGCTACCACTACCGGGACTAATTATTAGTGATATTACCTGGAGTTGTTGGATGTTTCCAGTTTTTCTGCATCACTCTTGCCCACCCCAGCCAGGGTTGATCAAATAGTGTTGTGTTTGTGTAAACATATGTAGATTATGGAATTGTTTATTTACCTTGTGTATATAATGTCTCTTTTCTACCACTTTTTTCTAATGCATCCAAATCTCCCTTGTGGGATCAATAAAGTATCAGTTATAAAATTTCTAACACTCTAAAACATAATGATCTGAAACTATGAACTTTTAGTACGTAATATGCTGAAAGAATGTTTGTGAAATTAAAGTACTTTCTCCACCTCAGGCCTGAGCCGAATAATGATGCACGGACCTTAGGCTTTTCAGTTTTTATGAACCTGGTATTATCATGTCAGACAAAGATAAAATTGTCAAATATTATGTGTTTTAACACTTAGTGCTCATGCTTATCTACTGTACGATTGTGTGTGTCTTACACTTTCTTCCTCCGCTTACAGGGAGTCAGCAGTCTCAAGAGCAGGCTAACAGAAGGACTGGAAGCAGCTCGGATAAACACAATGAGAACGGGGTATGCTTATCTCTTGTTTTTGTAAAATTGGTCACCTCTTAAAGGAATGCCTTCTGTATTCAAATGATGTGCATTGATGCATAATGAGTTCTAAAGCACAGTGCAGCTTTGAGAGTCAAGTTTTTGCATGTACATTTAAGCTACTGCATTGCAAGTTCTGTCTATTGTTCTGCAGCTAAAGCAGATCATCTGCCATCACACCCACTACTTCTATACCACAGCGTTTGATTAATGGACTTCTACTGTCAGAGTTATTCATGTTTAAATGAAGCCTCCTTTGACCGCCTATAACTTCAGACTACTTACATGATTAATGTCCAGGTCCTATTTCTAGTTCAGTCATCCGTGTATATACTGTATACAACTCTTGTCACCATCCACTTGGTCTGTCTTGTAGTTCTGCATTATATGACTGATTACTGATGGCTGAAAAGGCACTAGAGTTTTTAGTTGAAGTCACTTGCAGCTGCCTTTGCTGTTCTCTGCTTCCAGGAGATACATTTCCTTTCGTTGCTGAACTTTTATATACTTCTTTACAGGAGTGCTCCACATGCACTCCCTTTCATGGAAATCCCACAGTGTTCGTCCTTTTATTTTTTATTTTTGTCATCCACTTGATGATAAGAGCATCCTTCAACATCACTCTCCCTCCAACCATCTGGCCCAGATTCCGGCAGGGGAAAAGCCATGCTCCAGGAAGCATAACTAATTTTACCTTAAGGGATGAACATGCAGTGCTGCAGACTAGCAGTGCTGGAGATAAGAGTCTCCTTATGAGCCTCAGACAATTATATAGCATACGCTGATTTTGCAGCCCCCACTTTCCATCTTTGTTTCTCTCTCTGCTGCTCTGTTGTCACTGTTCCCTTGAGGGAAAGAATGACAGACCACAAAAGACACACTCCACTACCTCTGCTTGCGGTGGTTAGCAAGGGAACTGATTAACAACGATGCACTAGCTGCAGCCATTCAGGCATGGACACCCACCTCACTGTTTTTTTAATACTCTGCTGTGACTGGCAGGCCTACTTAAGACTTCAGCTACTGTGTATACCTGCCTGCCTGGTCAGACGTGCGGTTTATTTTCTCTGTGTTGCCTTTCACATCCTAATGCGGGTCAATCCTCATACCAGGGCTGTCCTAGTACAAATCTGAAGTGCTGTGTAACTGGAGAGCATGGTGGATCAGGCCATAAAAGGCCTGAATATCACCTGATTTGTAGAGATGCGCCGAATTCTGGGCGGATATGCCCAAATGTTTAACACAGCTGCAGCGGATGCCAATAAACACACATTTAGAAGATGCAGAAATTGAGACTACAGTACTATGCAAAAGTTAGGGACCACCCCTTTATTTGTTCAATGGCCAGTTAAAACAGCTATGGACAAGTTGGACAAAAACATATTAGACCAAATATTATACATAAGACAGCTAGATATAATATCAGATTTTTTAGTCTATAGTGTGTCCACACTGCCTTTCTTGTAGAAGACTTGTTTTTCAGATAAATCTACAGGGTTAATTTTCCACACCTCTAAAGTCTGAGAAGTTGGTTTTATTTTCTGCTTTTCTTGATCCAACTTAATCCCAGACATGTTAAGTGTTGTTGAGGTCTGAGCTCTGGGGTGGCCAGTCCATTGTTCTGAGAACACCAGCATTTTTATATTTGTATTCTCATAGTTATAGGATTAACAGGAACACTTGTGGATTTTTTTCCAGATCTGAAGCAAGAGTGAATCTTGACTTTCCTTAAGATTGAAGTACTGTTTATCTGATGGTGACAGTTTTGGTCAACCAGGTCTTGCACAGTTGTTAGGTGTCCCATTTTCACTGTAATGTTTAATATTTTTTTACTCCAGAGGTTACGTGAATTTTTTTTTTTTTTATTTAAAACAAATGTGGCGAAAATGTATAGTGTTCTACTTGTGTTATATTTGATGACAAATAGTAATAACTTTTATAGGACAAGTTGAAAGCACATGAGCATTTCACCTCTGAGGAGATGGTGATTTTGGTGTAATTTTGCCTATTGATAATTAGTCTGTAGGAAGATGTGTCTTTCGTGGGTAGTTTAATTTAGTCTCAGTCCAGCCTATTATACTGGATCAATCTACAGAATAGGCCAACAGTATATTTGCTTTGTGCGTATTTGCTTTACAGTTGTTTCACAGTTTTAAAATATGATGTCCTTTAGAACACCCTTAGGAAGTGATGTGTGTTTTACAGTAAGTCTGAACATCAGAGCCTGTGTTGGTAGTGAGTTTCACTCTGAGACAGAGTCAGTGGTCTGTCCTTCAAGGCTGCTATATTTGTTTTGACTTGTTAATCGGATGACGCCTTGCTTGTTGGGCAACTCCTAGAAGCTTGCCATAGTGCCCCCCCCACCCCAAACACAATCAAGCTCAGTTTTGCACACCTCCATGCTTAAAGCTGTACACCCTTAATGCAAGCCTCAAGCCTAACCTCAGCCGGCACACAAACATCACTCTTGGCTCTGTTTGGGTTCAACAGTAGTACAATGTGTGGCAGGTTGACCTCATAACAGACAGACCCTGTTTTGGTTTTGTTGTCTGGTTGCTCCTTTATAATTTGGGGGATTACACCAGTTTCATGACATAACAGCCTTTAAGAGGATCAGTGTCCTTGTTATCCCCCCGGCTTTGCTAGAGCGGGGCTGTCCTCTGCCCCTCTGCCCCTTCATCCAGGCACAACCTTCTGAGAAAACGGCAGGCATACCTTTTCTCGCACATATTTTCACAGTGGGTGAAAGGCATTTCATGATTTGGTTTAATTTGATTTTAAATCAGGGTGCCAAGAAATAATTATAAAACAATTCTTTACATACCTTGATTCCCCTCCCAGCACACTTTATTGCATTTATTAGCCTTTATTTTGTATGCCTGTATTTCATCAACTAAAAAGGTTAAACTACACAAACTAAAGAAAGTTAACAACCAGAGTATTTGACCTTTTCATATATTGTCACTGTCACAACAAAACATTGTGTCTCCAAAATGATAGCTTTACAAGAAATTTTACGTTATTAACTTTTAAATAAAATTAATGGAACAAGTTTTTGTCATTTTGGAGCAATTCTGTTGTTCCAATATCATGAAATTAACACATCGTAAAGAGCAGCTGACTCTTTCGCATCCTGTTTAAAAAAAAAAATAAAAAATCAAGACAGGTTTTGTTTGACGGCCACGTTATGTATCATAGAGTTCTTACTATATTAGCCTACAGTGTTGATTTTTATCAGAATAGTGTTGATTTTTCATTTAAGAATCAGTCATTTTTCCTATTCCTACTACTCAGCCTTTCAAACAGGGTAATCCCTGTGCACAAGCTCAATGTAAAGGGGAGTTACCTGTTCCTCTTCATGTGCTAGTGGGTGGTCTCCTTTCTTACATTGCCCTCTCATCGTCTTATTCTCTTGCACTCCCCACCCCTCAGGCCTTGTCATAGGGGCAGTGTGGCCTGGATGCATTGGAGCGTAGTTGTGTGTGCTGGGGGCTCTATGAGTGGAGCTCGTCTTGCCCAGCTTGAGTAACCCCCCCGCACCCACTCCCTTCTCTTCTCTCTCCCTTTCTGACTTCCCTCCCTATCGCTTTTTGCCATCTCTATCCATCTCTCCATCCCTCATATTCAGCTCAGCAGACCTGACACCCACACAGGCAGGATTTGCGTGAGGTAAGACTGCTTTGGATCTAGAGAAGACGAGCATGTTTCACATCATGCGCTATTGAATGTGCCCAACACTGCAGCTTAATTCACTTATATGCTAAAGCAAACTGATTAATTTGGCTATAAATGTTTGTTTTTAGTCTATACTGTGCAAAATTATGCTATTTTGGATCTCTGAGAGATGAGCCTGTGCTCTCGTTTGCTTTAGAGTTGCAGTATCCAGCCAGGGCAGTTGCTCATGTGTGTGAAACATGCTGTCCGTCACGAACAGAGCTGTGGAGCTGCAGAACTCTGCACTGTGTGGGCAGTGTAACCAGTGTAACTGACAGAGTTGAAGCTGTAGTTCTATCTATGTGGGCAGCTTCTCTCTGCAGGGATTACATGTTCCAGTCTTTGCTTTCTTTTATTTTTCCTCTGATCCCCCTCAAATCTCTTACCATGCTCAAACTAGCAAAGCAGAGAATACAAAAGACAATTTAGTCTTAAGTAATAGTGAGATTTTGTGTTTCCTGTAGCTTTTTTGACTTTATTATTATTTAAGTATTATATTTTCATCAGTGTTAATAGTCAAGCCCCTTATTTCTTTGGCAATCATTAGATTTTGTCACTGTGGACACAATACTCGTGTTTATTAAGTTCTGTTTATGCATGTGGTATACAAGCGTTTGTGCCCTTCTGGAGCTGTATTACACAAAGTTCCTATTTTTTTGTCTTAAGATCTGACGGGTCAAGATAAGATTACTCGCAAATTCATATTACAGAAACAAATCTGAATGTAGGCATTTTGTCTTATCTTACAGCATCTTATCTCAAGCTAGGAAAACTTAAACTACTTCATTGAAGTTGCCAGCTGAGTATTAGGGATGTCATGGCTGTTACCATGTAACCAACCATGCGTGCACAGCTGAAACATAAACACGTAATTAAAATAATGTTAAAAAAACGAAAGTTACAGGTACCGTTACCGCTGTGAAAAAAGGACAAACTGAAGTGCAATAAACTGGAAGTTAATAATATTGTGTCAGTGCTTTGTGCTGTTGAATAGTGTTGTCGCTCCCAGTTTCTTAGTTTCCCAAATGCTTTACGCGCTAACATTAATTCTCCTAACTGAATTTCCTCATTATTCACCACCACCGTCACTATAATATTTTATTTGACGAGTTTTCATCAGCAATAACAAACGAAGGTACTAAGAGAGACCGGTGGAGATCATATGTGCTGTGTCTGGGATTTATAAAAGTTAGGGGAAAAACAAACATCTCAATTCAAACCACCATTTCACAATATGAATAATATGATGTCATTATGCTAGTAGT